CTTTTTAAAAAGTAATGATAACTGATAAGGTAGTCTCCATCCTTTTATTCTTTCCACATCTGTTTGAATAATTTTGCACAACTTATGCAACAAGTTTGAGGTTGTTTTGGTTTTTTTTCTTAGTTGAGCTGTTTTCTGCCCTRGCTTTGCATTCAGTTCAAATTATGRTGAATTCAATTCTCATGACAGCCATTGTCATTATTTTGATTATTTGCCAAAATGAAGACCAACAAAGTTGTCCCAGAAGATTAAACACCACATTAACCAAAAAACCCATGGTGCAGCACCATGGATAGGAACAGATGGAAAGATGAATCCTACCATGCCACCAGTGTGATAAAAAACCTCCTTAGCCTCATAGTTATGATTTCTTTTTCTGCAAATATCAAAGAACAGCATGCAAGTTGAGTGTTATTTGAGAACTGCTCTTGCTTCAAATGCAATCCACACCTATGGCTCTGTAAGTACCTGACTCCACTGTGAGCWTCATATGTATCAATGGAAAAGCTGTTTATTAAGCTTTTACAGTCCTTAATGTTAATTGCTGCAATTAATGACTGGAACTGCAATTAGAGTTCAACTAAGGGTTTTCTAAACTAATAATGGGGCCTCATTAATATTGCTCATGACTGTCTASTGGGAATTATTTATCAGCCATAAGACTTATTATGTATAGGACCTCAGTYTGAACTTTCACGAGTCCTCTTCAGATAAATTGATGATATCCCACAAACTCAGAGGACCACATCTTCCATGGGTTTTTTTGGTTTTTTTGAAAGAAAGACAATTTTAAAGCCTTTTTGCACCCAACAAAATCAAAATGAAGCCTAATAACACTGGATACATTAGATAAAAATATTTTAGATGAGAAAATTTACTTTACTTTTCACTCTCTAATGCAGAATCCCACTTGGATGATACAGACTGCCCCAATACTAGAACCAAGCTTCAAGAACAAAACAGCTAAACTCTTTTAACTCTCTATAGCCTTAGAGGAGTTTCACAATGATAAGGTAAACTRTACCTCATCCTTTCTAATGTTCCCATTAATTTGACTTCTTTATGAATATTCCCATCATAAAACTGCATTTGTTCTTGGAAGATCTTTGTTGGTCCTCAATACAATAGCACAGACCTCCTAAATGGATGTCTACAGAAGACTGTCTATGTACTTGTCAGTAGATTCTTGCCTTTGAATTACTCGATTTGTCAAAGCTGAGCCTGTGCCCAGGTGTCTGCAGTTTTGGGTCCCTAACCAAACAAGTMGMRYTGYCAAGGGCTCTTCAGCCATTTCCTGACTTTTCTTTGAAAACAGGACCCAAGTCAGATTGATGCACTCCTTCCCTGCTCACAGCTGCCCTTGAAAGTGGCTCAAACCAGTACTCAGCTCACGTTTTTCCTCAGGACACACTCTTCCACTGTCTCTCCAGAAAAGGCCACCATATGAGCACAACTTGGTGTGCTGAGCACGTAGGTTTTAAGGCAGATTTTTGGCCAGACCGCAGTAATGGTGACCATGAGCTTCCTCAAATTGGYCCTTGCACCAGACATTCTCCCCATAATAAACTCCGAACAATGTTTTATTACAAAACACTTCTTTCATAAAATGTCACCTTCATTTATTTGACTTCATATTTTACTTACTGTGAGATTTCAGCCTAGCATCCATACAAGAACTGGAAGAAAAAACAGAATTCCTGTCACACAAGGGTACCAATGTTTCAACACARCTCATGAGTTTGTGAATTTTAATGAACTCAGAAATCTCACAGGGGTTTTAATAATTTTATCCCCTCAAAAATTATTTCAGTGTCACCAGTATGATTTGCTTAGYAGTCACTGGTTTATCTGCTTTTCATTCTCTTAGGAAAGTGAAAATTATGAGGTGGAAATAATTTCTTTCAAAATTTCAAAAATCCCAAAGGATGTGTACATTTCCATCCAAAATCTTGATATTTGATTTCAAAATTTTATCTTTTTTTATTCAAATTATATTTTTAAATGAAAAGTCTGGAAGATTTAATAGTCTAAACAAGCTTTAAATGCAATGTTTA